AAATATCTGTTTTTTTTTTTTTTTTTTAAAATATTGATGAATTTTGTTAAAACAATCAGACTTATTAGAACAATCAATTACAAAAGATTGTCACTCATTTTTGTGGTATTTTATAAACACCATTACGTCACAGTGTTACCTGTAATTACTTTTAAATGTAAAAATGTGAAATTACAAAATTCAACTTGACATACAAATACATTTTAGAGTGTACAGGTGACAGGAAACGTGTTAAGTAATACATTTGACTCTGTTTCTCTCATAGAGGATGATATTTTACATATTGAACGTCTAATGTCTCTACAATTAGAACAAATATCTTTCTCTTGTCTGTCGTTTACTCTTAACTCTATCTAAAAGTAATTTAAAATACCTCTCAACACACAGATCTTTTTAAAAAAAAAAAAATAAATAAAAACAAAGCATCACGCGTGCACGCACAGTTGTACGACGACGATTAGGATTTTCGATATAAATATAATATTTAAAAAGAAGAAAATGAATAAAAGGAAGAAGGACAAAAAAAAGCACGAATATTTGAAAAACACAAATTGGTTTAAAAAATTCACGAATATAATTATGATCTTTATATTATGTATGTATGTGCGTATGTACAAAACATTTGATTAACTTTCAAATGCAACGTTCACCTTTATCAAGCAACTTCATCGATGTATGTTTATATTTTCTTTTTTAGACTACAGGCCCGACCTAAAAAATCGATGGTTCATCTGATCCCCCAGGAAACCTATATGGGACGATATAGGGGCATAAAATAATAATTTTTAGCACTATGCCGTTACTTGTAAGCTGTCCAACTGAGTGCAGGTGAGAATTAAAAAGCACAGAATAAACGAGTACTTTTTTATCAAATGATTTTGTACGGCATTCTTACCACCGATAGATCCATCGAAAATAATAAGAAAACACGTAGTGCCGTTTAAAAACAGTAGGCCACAAAGTCGAAAAAAATTTTTGATTTTCCGGAAATTTTCCGGGTTTATTTAATCATTTGATTTTGTACGGCGTCGGTTTCATACAATTTCAATACCTATTTTATTTGATTATTTCGCAACGCCGTACAAAAATCATGCAGATCACCCCCTGGACCCATGGAAAAAGGTGGATTTTAACCCTCGATTTTTCTCCCTTGTTGCATGATTTTTGTACGGCATTGCAGAATAATCAATTAGAATAGGTATTGAAATTGTATGAAACCGACGCCGTACAAAATCAAATGATTAAATAAACCCGAAAAATTTCCGTAAAATCAAAAATTTTTTCCGACTCTGTGGCCTACTATTTTTAAACGGCACTACGTGTTTTCTCATTATTTTCGATGGATCTATCGGTGGTAAGAATGCCGTACAAAATCATTTGATAAAAAAGTACCCGTTTATTCTGTGCTTTTTAATTCTCACCTGCACTCAATTGGACAGCTTACAAGTAACGACATAGTGCTAAAAATTATTATTTTATGCCCCTATATCGTCCCATATAGGTTTCCTGGGAGATCAGATGACCCATCGATTTTTTAGGTCGGGCCTGTAGTCTATTTCTTTTCCCTTTAATTTTTTCTTTCCCTTTTATTTAACGTATTACTACGATAACAAATGGATCATAAAAAGGGTACATCGTCAAAAACGACGTTTAATAAAAAAAAATCTCAATAACTTTCTCTCTGCTATATAATAAAATGATATCATCGTTATTTATTTATACGATGTTGAAATATAAAATCGATGATGTTGCTTCGAGTATTAATATTTTTCGATGATTCTCCGAGAATATAAAAATGAATATATAAGAAGAAAAAATAAACAAATCTTAAGGAAGATAATGAAGAGGAGAATTATAATGATTAAAAAATATTAACACTAAACGTACAATGATAAGTCATATGACCGTGTTAATGTAATTTGTAAAAATAATATTATTTATAACAAATTCGATAAAAATTCATAAAATTGTACATTATTCATTTTGAAACAAAAAAAAATATCCAATTGTCTAAAAAATCTCATTCTATATGAAATTATATAATATACATATATATATATATATATATATATAATAAATCTCTGTATGTTTAGTGTTAAAGCAGGTACAAATTGAGCGTGTATTATCTTATATATTTAATCTAATTACTCGTGAGAAACACACACACACACACACATATACTCTCTCTCTTTCTCTCTCTCTCTCTCTCTGTTAGGAAAAAAAAAACAGACACACAAAAAAAAAAGATAAAACATAGAATTGTGAAGATTTATCTATATATATAAAAAAAAAAAAAAATTCTATCTCCTTCTCGAAGTTAGTTAGCAAAAAGAAGTATAACTCGATTATTGAGATGAAAAACTTGACTTCCCTATGATATCTTTTGTACACACGTTATCTTGCTGGACAGAAAAGGAAATGAAATAAAACTTCGACTCCATCCTTCGATAGGGCCACGAGAGAACTAATTCAAAATGGGATTATTTGCAACAACAACTACAAAAAAAAAAAAAAAAGAAAAAAATTGCAAGTAAAAGAAAAATTTAAAAAAAAAAAAGGTCTACGAAGAAAAAAAATCTATAAAAAAAAAAAAAGAAAAAATAAAAATCGTTAAAACGATCTCGAATGTTTCTACAATCGAAGGAATATTAAATGATCGGGCTGTGCTTGTAAAATGGATGACAGATGGTCCAAACATAGACTATTTATTATAAGGGGAAACATAAACGAGAACTTAAAAAGAATAGCCTAACAATTTTTTTTTTTTTAATACTCGCCACGTATTAAATGCAAGGAAAAAAAAATAATCAACAAAAGATATATCAAATAGAATGATTAATAAAATACATTACAATAAAAAAGAAATAACATGAAAATATGTTTACAATCAACGATATTGTTAATACTTTCTTAAAATTATTATTAACAAAATATGTAAAAACACAAAAATAAAAGAAGAGAAATGAGAGAAGATTTTCTTTTTTTTTGCTTGTAATTTTATACGTGGCGTGTATCTAAACACTATAAATAATAATAATAATATAGACAGAAATCACTATACGATGTTAAATATGACGGATTTTAAACGAAAGATTATAATAGAAATAATAATAATAATAATGATGATGACATTGATAATGATGATGATGATGATGATGATGATGATGATGAAGATGATAATAATGACGATGATGATTATAATGATGATTATAATGATGATTATGATGATGATTATGATGATGATGAGGAACACGAGGATGAAAGAATATTCAGATAAGAATATATTTTCAATGTAAATCCAGTATGTATACATATATATATATCATGTATATATATATATTTGTATAAATCTGAGATAAGACTACGTATCTCATAGATTCAACGTGTCTTGTCGTTGTAACGATGGAAAGAACCTTTGCGCATCTTCGAAGAGACATCGCTCATTTTAAATCGATTTAACAAAGAAAATACATATGAGCCGTTTATTTTGAAAATGACCTTACTCCATTTACGAGTTTGTTTTCAAGGCCATTAAAAATATACTAACGAGTTATACTGCTTAAGTGTACCTAAGGATGTTCAATTTATAGTTCCTATTAAAATAGTGACAATTAATATGCGTTTTCTTAACAAGAATGGAGTTAGGCTATTTTCAAAATTAACAACCAGATTCATTATAAAATTTAAAGGAGTCCAAATCCATTCAACATAATTTAAGATGCTTCAAATTGAAAAATACAATACTCAATTTATTTGACATATCCTTAAAACACTTCAGAAACATAATTTATGCGATTGAAAACATTTTT